ATGATTTTTATTGACAAAAACTTATTTTATCTCTATGAACATTTTTCGGTGATGAAATATATTTTTTATGATGAATTTTTTTGTTCATTATTAAATATGTATGCATATGTGACTATTTTTTTAGATCTATCACAATTGTGATAAATTATAGTGATGATTTCAAAATTTATCACAAATTTCTGTCACTAAAAATCATTTTTCTTGTAGTGTCTCTTCCTCCCTGTTTGAACTCAAAAATCTAGAAATGGATTGCCAATCAATCACATAGGTTGTTGGCCAAAAGCAGATGATCGTCTCACGGATATTGTTATCCTCAATATCAAGGGAAGCTGCATCCAATTTATCATTTTCCGGATCATACCAAAGAAGGAGGCTTCCAGATGCTAACAAAATTTTAGTATTACCATTCCTTGAGGAAGCTGCTGCTAGAGGCCTCATGCGACAATAGTCCCTACGATAATGGTCCATATGTAATCTTCCTCTGTTACTGACAAGGATTCGAGACGCAAGAGTCCAGGACTCCTTGACCATGTACTCCTTCATCACCCATATATCAAGTTCAACACTCTTACTACTATTATTCTCCTTTGGGTGTGTGACAGTAAGGCAGCCCTCAAGTACCCCTAATACAGATGCCGTGTCTATATCTGGCAACTCAATCTCATGGAACTCCTCAGTGGTGAGATCAAAAGCAAAGACGAAAGGTGGTGTGTTGAATCTGGAATCCCGATAAGCTACCCAATTCAGCATACTGCCAACAAGCACACCTTGTGTTTGGCTATAGCCATAGGTGCCAATATCAAAGTAAGGAGTTGGAGGACTAGTTTTGTCTGTGATTAGAGGGCTTCTCCGGGACCAGGTATTGTTTCTGAAGCTATAAGTAGAAACTTTGATCTTATGCCCATGGTGAAAGCCCATGATATCCACTAATTTGTAATCTTGATTGACAGAGTCATACCCAAATCCATATAGAACAACCTCAGTTCTACCGAATTCGTCCCAGTCCCGGTGGGCATAGCATCTAGGTTTTGAGGTAATTACTTGGAAATCTCCAATAAATTTGCTCCAGATAAAGAAAGTTTCCCCTGTCTTAAAGACAATCAAGCCATTACATGGACCTCTTATAGAAAGGTCGCCCCCTTCTAAGATTACATCTGGGACAGGGTGCTCTGTCAAGCTGGAAGTGGAACAATCCAAATCCGCAGAGTAGACGGTGTCTACGGTGTGTCTGGCTACGCCCACAAAAACCAGGACTGCCCCCTTGATTTCAGATATCAATGAACACCATGATTTGGAGACACTCTTGAAACGGCAAAGACTCTTGGGATCAGATAGTTGACCAATAATGTCTTTGGTCAAGTCATCCGGCAAATCCCTGCCCCCAAGCATCATGATGATTTCTTTTTTTCTTCTTATTCTTTTGCCGGCCTTCCTAGTAGACTTTCTGCTTCTGCAACTGCAATACAAGTAGGGTTTGTTTGTATATATATATATTTACACGCACAAATCAACCAGAAGCAGGGACTAGGGAGGGTTGTTCTCCTTTTCAGTGTGGAACTAGAAAGACAGGAATACAAATTATGTTAGCACTATAATATAAAGCAAAAGATCGACAGTTAGCCTCCCAGATTCATCATATTCAAACGATCCAACCAATTCCAATTCAAGATAAAAACACAAACTTTAAGATAAAAACAATAAATTCATGTATCACAGATCAAATCCCAAAAAGGAAAAGAACCAGAATAAGATGAATGGATCCATACCGATGGAACCAGCAAATCCCAGAATCAGAAACCGCCCGGAGAAAGATTGATAATACACGGCGTTGTCGAGAAGACTGGTAGATGATTCCGCCGATGAAGGTGAGATGATTCCCGTCTCCAAAATACTGAATTTATTATGAGAATGGTGTTTTTTTAGTATGGACGGTATTTTTTTTTAGTTAAATTTAGATATTAAGATTATTAAAATATTATTTATAAATAAATAAT